CTGGAAATTCTTCAGTGGAAATTAACATGCATGAAACTGTCATCTTCTATAATATTGATTATTCTGGAATACTTCTTTTAGAAACAGTTGTTAAGCTATTTTACAGCTCATTTTTTTAGATGAGTAGGAGTGCACTACAAATAATTGCAAAAACTATAGTAAACACATAAACCATTAACATAGACATTTACAATCACAATCAAGTATGTAGTGCATGTAATTGTATGTTCTATACTCATATATAACGGGTTTATGCAGTAGATTTGTTCACACTGGCATCACTACAAGCACATGAATAATGAACAACTTCACAATACCTACAATGTCACTTGGCAATAGAAATTTTTCTGATCCAATATAAACTTACAGAACTGTCATGGATGCTGTCTGATGTTGACTAAAACATTGTTATGTTCACAAGTCTGTGCTTTAAAGATGTGTTTCCATGATGTCTTCCGTTCATGGTTTCTAATAATAAATCTGGAGTTATTCAAATCCTTGTTTTTTACATACACTATGTTGAAAAGTGACATCATGTATATTTCTTCTCTATCTTGACTATTCAGCATTTTATCAAAATATGTGTAGATATAGCTTTGGGGTTATCTACTTTAAGGCTTGCTTCTTGAATTTCTAAACTGACAACTTTGTCAAATATTTGAAATATTATTTCCTCAAATTACTTTTTCTGCATCAGTCTCTTCCCTGTTCAGGACTCCAATGGAATGCCTGTTAGGCTCTTCCTGCTGTTCCCTAAAAGTAGTGTTGACTTTTTTCAACATATTGCTGCTTTCTTCCCGATTGTATAATTTTTATGATTATTTCTTCAATTTTACTAACTCTTGCTAGTGTCCCTTTTATTGTAATTGTATATTTATTTAAATATTGTATTCTTTTATTTTTAACATTTCTAATTTTGTCCATCACCCCCACTGGTGCACAATGTACTAAATAGATTAATTTTCAACCCTCCTCCTCCTCTCACACTCCCCCTTTGGATGTCCAATGTCCAAGGTACAGTTCCTCCCATACGACCCCGCAATCTCCCTACTGGGAATATATCCAGAAGAACACAAATCACTCTACAAAAAAGACACCTGCACACGTATGTTTATCGCAGCATTGTTCACAATAGCAAGAACCTGGAAGCAACCATGCTGTCCATCAAAAGAGGATTGGATTAAAAAAATGTGGTACATATACACGATGGAATACTATGCAACCATAAAAAGGAACAAAATCATGAATTTTGCAGCAACCTGGATGGAACTAGAGTCTAAAATACTGAGTGACCTCTCACAAAAACAAAGGTCCGAGTATCACATATTTTCACTCATATAATGGACCTTGAACATCCAATCTAATACTATAAGAAAATGACTGACAGTAGTGGGAAACTATGGGGGTAGTGAGGGAGATGGGATTAATGGGCAAATATCTGTCTGGGGATGGGGAAGCACCTCTAATCAATAGGGTGCCTGAATGAAATGTATTTGTATACCTAACCGTTAACTGTACCCCACAACATCATAATAAAAAAATATTGATTATTAAAAAAAAAGAAAGAAAAGTAGCTGTTAATAGGTATACAGTTTCTTCTGGAGATGATGAAAATGTTCTAAATTTAGGTTGTGGTGATGGTTGAACTATTCTGTGAATATACTAAAAACCATTAAACTGTATGCTTTAAAAGGGTATATTTTATGATATATAAATTACATCTTAATAAAATCATTAAAATAATGCATTAAATCAAAAAAAAAAAAAAGAATTCGATGTTAGTGTTACCTCCAAAAGCCCTTGAAAGGCATGCAAGAGCACCGGAGCCTTCACAACATGCTCCTAAATAACTCTCAGCCCCAGTTTAGAGGTTGTATTTGCCTGGCACTGAGTATTTGCACAGGACCATGGCCTCTAAGACAGCTACGTGTCTGGGAGCACCTGGGTAGGAACACAGCATTGACAAAGGAGGTCTCTGTGCAGCGATCCCAACACAGTATTATGTACCATTTTGAGGACAGTTTTCTAATTGATATGAAAAAAGTTCATCCAAAGCTATTCCTATCATGAAACCACTGACAACACCATTGTGCTGTTTATTAGGGGGACCGGTAGTGGGCTGAGGAGGAGAGAGATAAAAAGAAAGAGAAAGGGTCCTTCTCTATGCTGATAATACTTGATTTAGAGAATTGATATTCTTAGGCTCTGAGGAATACCCTTAAAGAGTAAAATGAGAGACAAAGGAACTCCCTTCCAATATTCCATGGGGTGTTACATGGAAAAGTGTGTTGATATGTTTGGGGACTCCACAGAACAGAGCAGGGACCAATGGGTGAAGCTATAAAGGAAGAGATACTGGCTCTTTCTAAGGATGTGTCTTCGTCCAGCAGCTTCTTCTACAGATGGCTGCAGAGCCTAAGGTCAAAGATGCCCAAGGATGGATGATCTCAGCATCTTATTCAGGAAAAAAAAAATTAATTAGCTGCGCATGGTGTTACATTCTTGTAGTTCCAGCTACTCAGGAGGCTGAGGTGGGAGGATCACCTGAGCCCAGGAGGTCAAGACTGCAGTGAGCCATGATTGCCCCCTGTACTCCAGCCTAGACTACCGAGCAAGATCTTATCTTAAAAACAAAACAAAACAAAAAAACCCAAAACTGAGAGCTTAGGCTGATAATAATTGAGGAAATAATCTTGTCTCTGTTGACATGTCTAAATATTTTTTAATGAGAATAATCCTTGGTTTATCATGGAATCTGGCAGACCTGGGTCTATCATTAATTGACCATGAGACATTGGGCAAATTTACTCACCTCTTTGAGCCTCCCACTCCTCAGCTGTAAAGTGGAAGGAAACTCTACCAACCACATGAAGGAATATATATATATGTAAATATATATATACTAAGTATAAGCTAGGCATCGTGGCTTATGCCTGTAGTCCTAGCTACTTGGAAGGCTGAGGCAGGAAAAATGCTTAAGCCCAGGAGTATAAGGCTTCAGTGAGCCATGATGGAGTACTACTGTACTCCAGCCTGTGTGTCAGAGTGAGAGCCTGTCTCTAAAAATAAACAAATAAATACCAAGCATAGTGCTTTGCTCATAGTAGGTGCTTAACTGCTCATTCCTCTATCTTCAAAGTCCCTTATATCCTGACCTCAACCCTAGCTACTCCCCTTCATATTCTTATGTCCTGTCTATATCTTTTGTCCACGAGATGCCATCCTCCCTTAGGGGTGTGGCTCTCTTTTCTTAATTATGCTCCCGTACATCCCTCATTACTCAACAAAATACTTCTTTTCTGACACATCTAGTGAGGGTTATAAATTCCTCCTCTCCTGCCCTCATGGCATTGGATACATACATCTCTTGTAGTATCTCACATGCTTTGTTATGTATAAGTATTGTGTTTTCCTTCTGGATTCCTTGAAGGCAGGGACTGTCATTTTTATTTTTATATTCACGGCCACTAATTGCCAGTATATGGCAAACCTTAGGCAGTCAATAAATGTACACTAAATGAAGGACAAAGAAATAAATGGTACTATGCCCTCCTGAGGAAAAATCTTTGCTCTGTTGGAACTCTCTCCTTGCTGGATACCAAATATAAGAGATTCATATGGGAGTTTGGGGTGGTCCAGTCCTTTTGTTGAGCACAGACATTATACCTCTTCTAGGGCAGATCTCAGGCTTGCCTCCTGATAGAAGCTTAACTGTGACCCTCCAGAATTCATATATTGAAATCTTAACCCCCAGACCCTCATTTACAGATGGGTTCTTTACAGAGATAATCAAGCTATGAGGTCATAAGGCTTGGCCCTAATCTGACTGATGTCCTTGTAAAAAGGGGATATTTGGGGACCGAGCTTGGTGGCTCAGCCTGTAATCCCAGCACTTTGGGAGGCTGAGACGAGTGGATTGCCTGAGCCCGTGGGTTTGAGACTAGCCCAAGCAACTTGGTGAGACCTCGTCTCTACAATAAATTTTTTAAAAAGAGCTGGGCGCAGTTGCACACGCCTGGAGTTTTAGCTACTTGGAAGGCTGAGGCGGAAGGATCATCTGAGCCCAGCAGGATAGTGCTGGGGTGGCGGTGAGTGTGCCACTGCACTCCAACCTGGGAGACAGAGTGAGACTCCAACTCAAAAAAAAGGGAGCGGGCATGGGGGATATTTGGACACAAACATACACAGATGGAAGATAATGTGAAGAGACAGAGGGAGAAAGGCCTGGAATAGATCCTTCCCTTACAGTCCTCAGAAGGAACCAACCCTCCTGACATCCTAATTTTGTCTCCAGTACTGTGAGATGATAAATTTCTGTTGTTTCAGCCACCCAGCTTGTGGCACTTTGTTATAACAGCCCTAGACAATGAATGCACCACCTAACATCAGGCAGTCATACTTAAGAGTCTGTTCTCACAGAAACTGCCCCGATTCCTGGGCCAAGGGGCCTGATCCTGGATCTAGGGGATGATTTACAGCCTGGTCAAGGAGTGTTTATCAGGAACTAGTTCTCCTCTGACTTCAGCTTTTCTTTGATGTGAAAGCTTCAGAGCATTGTAATTAGAATCCCTCATTTGTACTTATGGATTAGATGTTGTCTCTTTGAGATGGTAGCAATTGCTCACAGGATTTTTAAGTGTATTCCCATATATTTTAAATGTTGCTGTATTTAGTGTGTCTTGTGAATGTCAATAAGAAATAACATTTACAAAAAAGAACAGCAGATTCCTTGTTTTGAGTTTCAATTTGAGCAAAGCTGAGGAAAATGCCAAAATAATATGCAAATATTAATATGCCATATGTAAGGCTTCTTGGAATTTTTTTTTTTTTTTGGAGCTGTCAACACAAGTCAGCCTCTCTGTTGTTATTCCTGGGTGTTTATGATTTTTAATAGAGTCTACTCTGTGTTGCATTACATTGGGAATATTCCCAGAGTACCCTAACTCTTCATTTTTGTTTTGTTTACAGGGAATTTTGATTGGGTAGGGAATGATTTTACCCACAATGCCGGCACGGGCCTTGTTATCAACCAGGCAGATGTGAGGAACAACAGGAGCATCATTAAGCAACTGAAAGACGTGTTTGAAAGGGACTGGTATTCACTTTACGCCAAAACCTTACAGCCAACCAAACAGCCGAACTGCTCAAGCCTGTTCAAACTCAAACCCTCCTCAAACAAAACTGCCATAGACAGTGCAAGTGGGAAGGAGCCCTGGAGTGTATAACGCGAGGGAACAAACTGATGGGACAATTCTGTATTTCATATTTATATATAAAGGACCCAAGGAAAGAAAAACAATTTAATATGACTTTTTTTTAGGGAAAAAGCACACTAACAAAAAATATTCTCCCAACGACACATCATATCTATCTAACAATATCTTAGCGTTGTGTACACTAAAATTAAGACTTTTGTATTTGTTACTTCTGACAGAGAATGTCATTCCAGTTTAGAAGTTAGTTTTTGGGTTTGCATACAGATTTTAAGACTTTGATTCCTGAACCTTTCTAGTTTTCAAATTTTTTCTGCTGACCCAACTGGTCAGTTCTTAGGAAGCTTAGCATGAGGTGAGTGCTTTAACACCATTCTGAGAACTGCTGATTTTAGAGAGAGGAAGGTAATTTCGCCTTGGAGAAGAGACTGATAAAGCCAAGCGTTTATTCTTGTAAACCATCCCCAAGACCTATACAGTCATCTAAGCATGAACAGCCTTCATCTCATGCCAGCTTCAACATTTGAAACCCCTCCTTTCTGTCTTCCCATTCGTTTTCTTCTAATACCATAGGTTTTATTTCTTCTCACAAAATGCTTCTATTATATAGCACTTCTAAATTCACCTCAACATTAGTTCCAAGTATGACAACATCTTTTGAAAATGTATGAATTCCTCAGAATGGATGCAAAATAGAAATAGCAATCTTTAATTTTCACCTTTTAACTGCATTTTTTTTCCTACCAAATTGGTATTTTAAAAACCACAGTCAGCAATATGTACCCTTTCTCTCAAGCTCAGAAAAATTATGTAGCCACCTGCGAATATCCAGCAAGCTATTAAGTCTGCATTTGGACAATAAAGTAGTTTTTCACACTTTTATTTAGTTTATGGTATTATAAAGGAAAGATCTTTATGCGTCAGTGGGTTTTAATTTCTTTAGAATCATTATGCTGTTAAAAGTATGCCAGCAAATGTTTATAGAGCTATTTATTATACCTTCTGCTATTTAATATACCAAATGCTTTTCAGAGAAATGCAATTTAAATACTGTGCTTAACATATTTTACTAAGAAACAGAAATATTGAATTATTGTTCTATAACGTCATTGTGTGGTGTTGTTTTCTATCTATACAATATATAACCCTATATTTATGGAGACTGTTGCTATACTGGAGGGAGGTGTGGCCTTTTCAGAGCCCAGAACAGGTGGCCGGGATGCCCAGCTCCAGCATTGCCCCTGACTCTGCAGCTCAGAACAGTCCCTCACTCCTTGCCTAGGGTTTCTCTTGGTAATGTAGACAGTAATACTCACCTACCTCGCAAGGATGTTGTCACGGTAGGAAATATTTATAACTTGTTTTGAAATCAAAAGAACCTGTATAAATGCTAAGCATTATAATATATAATCTTTTTCTTGAAATAATCTTTGTGGTATCCTAATAGAATCAACACCAGGTCCTTCCTGAGAAACCAGAAGGGAAAACAAATCCATATCTTCCCAGTTGTAAATGTGGATGAAAAGAATACAGCAACGGCACAAAAATGCTGGTGTCGATCTTGATTGCCAACATTTTGGTGGAACATTTTGTTGGGTCACTTTGGCATAAGTAACATCAAGGCATCATTCCTTAGGACCAGAATATGCATGTGTTTTCAGATCAAGGACAAGCAATCTCAAGTATTTGTTTTCATTTCTAGAGACTTGGTTTCTAATATGCCAAAAAGAATAATGGAGGAGACTATGACTCTTATCCATGGGGTTTCCTTAATGTAGAATGACCATTGTTGATTATCCCGTGATCACATAACTCCCCTTTTGTTTGCAAGTATTGCTTTACTGGATATTGAAACAGTCAATCAAGAGAGCTGGACGGGAGCTGTATTTTAAGGGTAGTATGTTTTCAGGACTGATTCGGGGATTTTCAGTAAAATCCTTTGTCAATAATGGCCAGCTCACAAGACTCTAAATATTTACCACATACCCAATCTTTGTTTGAGTTGGGATTATTCTGCCCATCATGAAAGGTAAACATGGCTTTGGAGATGATTTTAAAGAGAAAGGAAGCAAAGAGTAGCGGTGGAGACAAACAAACTACCAAGTTTATCCTTGGACAAGCAAAAGCAACCTGGGTTGGGTTTGAAAATGATATCCAAAGGGAGAAAAAAAATAGTTGCTTCTTTGTTTGTTGTCTCCTGGAGTACTTGTCTACAGCCGTGGGACACATGGAAGTTTGGTATAATGAGACCCTTTCACTGTCCCTGTCTTTTGGGTGTGCTAGGAAAAGAGAATGTCATCCTTTATGGAATGGCCATTGTTGCCATTTCCTTCTGAGCCCCATCAAAATGGTAGCACCAGGAGCTGTGTCCCAGGGATTTCTGCCAAGCACCAGCAGCAGCAGCAGAGACCTGCTGGACACAGCAAGCCACCTCATGAGGGGAGTCTGGGCCACAATAGCAGCAAGGCCGCTGACCCCATGGGGCAAAGCTATCCTGTGGCAGCCAGAAAAATTACCCCTGTTTTGAGAGTGTCACAAATGGGCCCATGTTTCTTTTTTTCTTTTCTTTTTTTTTTTTTGAGTTGGAGTCTCACTCTGTCGCCCAGACTGGAGTCCAGTGGCCGCTCCCGGCCACCGCAGCCTCGACCTGCTGGGCTCCAGCGATCCTTCCGCCTCAGCCTTCCGAGTAGCCGGAATTACAGGCGCGCGCTACCACGTTCGCCTAATTTTTTGATTTTATTGTAGAGAGGAGGTCTTGCCTGCCCAGGCGGGTCTCGAACCCGCGGGCTCGGGCAATCCACTCACCTCAGCCTCCCAAAGGCACGGGATGACAGGCTGAGCCACCAAGCCCGGCTGGGTCCGTGTTTCTTAAGAGAACATTTTATTTTGCAGAACTTTCTCTTTCGTTTGGGTGTTTTATCTACCTTCATCTCTTTTAGACATTGTGTCTGTGCCAAACAGACTGCCAACTTTCTCCCAACCCCAAATGTCCCAGGAATTAGTTTGCAAGAGAGAGAGAGAGAGAAGCAAAACAAAAACACTAATTTGAGACTCTCTGATGTATGTCCATGCCAGACATGATGAAGAAAAGGGCAACTACTCACCTCCATTTTCCCCCCACAATTCCAGGAATTATTTCCCAATAGTCAAAAAAGGAAAACAAACAAAATTCGAGACTATATTTTGGATTTCTATGTCACTAACACTAACCTAGTGCCTTATTTATTCTCAAGTGTTGATTTTAAACAGTGATTCCCTTTGAGAACACTTCTGCTTTCTGTGGAGTTCAATATGACCTCTGATGGGTCTACCAGATGAACGCTTGCATAATAGTTTTGACAGTTTTTATTAGCCTGCTGTCTGTCCAAGCCACATTGCTTTTATTCCCCCATATAAAATCATTGATACTCATTGTCAAATATCAGTATATAGTTGGCTTTTACTACATTGTCACTGGCCTCTAATACATCAAATAATTGTATCAGCTTGTCACGCCATGGGAGAGGAAGTTGAACATTCTGAGAATATTCCATGCTCTGTACAGAGCAATGGCCATGCTTTGGGTACCGGAAGCCGACAGAAGAGAGGCACACTGAAAATGTCCCCACCAACTTTAAAGAATCTTGTAAACATGCTTCATAGACTTCCAAGGTCCTTGGAACATAGAGTGAAAATTAGTGTCTTTAAAAAAATCAAAGCAAGCCAGGCTTGGTGGCTCAGCCTGTAATCCCATGCTTTGGGAGGCCCAGGTGAGCAAATTGTTTGAGCCCGCGGGTTCGAGACTCGCCTGGGCAACTTGGCGAGACCTCATCTCTACAATAAAATCGAAAATTAGCTGGGTGTGGTAGCCCACGCCTGTAGTTCCAGCTACTTGGACGACTGAGTCGGAAGGATCGCCGGAGCCCAGCAGGTCGAGGCTGCGGTGGCCAGGAGCGGCCACTGCACTCCAGTCTGGGCGACAGAGTGAGACTCCAACTCAAAAAAACAACAAAAAAAGTCAAAGCGGACTCAGTAAAAGAAACAAACAACAACAACAACAGCAAAGAATCAAAAACTCTATGGACAGACTTTGCATCTGTGTAACTCTGGGCACCACTTTTTCCATTTGGGCTGTGTCCATGCTGCTGTTTTTCTCCTGTTTGATTTGGTTCTTAGTGAGATAGTTCTGATCACATTTCTGGTTAATCTTATCCTTTGAAAAATGTGTTTTGTTAATGCAGTTGCTGGTTTGTTACAAGTGCCTCAATGAACCTGGGATTGATAGAAGTTCATTTTTCCACCAGCCTGTGGCTATTCTCAGTGACTTCGATTCATTCTGAGTTTTTTGTTTTCAGAAGCCTTTATTAAACTAAATTCCATGGGGGGAAGACTAAGAACTTATTGATAAGATCATATCCAGGGTCCATCTGTCTCAGGAAGTCTATCTTAGAATTTGCCTTTTTCTTTTTCTTATGAATGACCACTGGTATGTGTTTCTCTGTCCAAAATTCATTCCATTATGTCTAATGTTTAAAGAGTATAAAAAGCTGCTGTTACTTGCCAGAGAACAGCCATTTCCTGTAATGAAAGATGCTTTGCTATTGGCTACTCAAACTCAGTTCCTTATAAACAGCCCCATATATTGTGAACAAATGTTTCATTCATTTTTTTCTGTACTTATTCTCAATGGACTGGTGTACTTTATTATAAGCCCTTTAATATAACTTCCATTTTGCCCTAGATAAATTAGACAAATTAATCAATAGTCAACATTTTCTCATTTGATTTGAATTAGCAGCTTTCCTTTTTATTTTATATGTTGTTAAACAAAAAGTAGATTTACCATTTTTACCTTATTGACTTAAATTGATGGAGGTTTTTTAATAGCCCTGAAGTCAACCCCAGTTCCCAGCTTACTTTTCCCATTTGAAAGAATTCCCATCTTTAGCTGAATTGTGAAGATATTGCTTTTTATAATGACTAGATAGGTATTCTTTAGAAGTTTCTTGAAACTGTAAAAACAGAATTTTCTTCGTTTTGACCCATTCGTAATCTTGTATTTACAGAGTTCTAAAAGTTCCCTGATCAATTTATTCTTCTTTTGGCAATTTGACAAAAAGAAATATGAGATTTACTAGGCTCCTATGCATTTTATTTTGTTGTGTTCAGCTACTAAGTTTCAAATTCTGTGACAAAGGATATCTTGAATTTTTAAAGTTCCTTTACGTGAACAGGATAAACTTGTACCTGGATATATCTATATCATTAACCTTAAGATCCCCAAATAAGTTGGTGTGGTAAAGGGCTGAATTGGGGGGCATGATTAAAATTCTCAAAATGTTCATTGACCAAATGCTTATTATTTTCGGAAGTAAATATTTATACAGCTTTTTCATACTGTGAGATGAAGCATTTCTTTTTCTCCTTAGCTTGATCTCAGAAACAGTCACTCGTCAGCAGACAAGTTGAACTATGATAAGTGATAAAGAAGTTAAGTGCAACTGACCCAAGGGACTAATGGCCCACTGTTTTGCAAATCCACAGCAGGAGGCATCTGTGTAACATGACTTCTATCTTTCCATTAAAAATAAGTTTATTTCTAATATGTGTTGATTTCATCTCACTAAGTGATATACATATATATTTCTTTTTGAGACAGTCTTGCTCTTGTCACTTAGGCTTGAGTGTAGTGGCACCATCATGGCTCACTGCAGCCTTGAATTCCTGAGCTCAAGCGATTCTCCTGCCTCAGCCTCTCAAGTAGCTAGGACCTAGGACTACAGGCATGCACACACCACCACACGTGACTAATTTTTTTTTTTTAGTTTTCATTTTTTGTAGAGACGAGATCTCGCTTTGCTACCCAGATGAATCTCAAGCTCCTGGCCTCAAGTGATGCACTCACGTCAGCCTCCCAAAGTGCTGAGATTACGGGCATGAGTCACTGCACTCAACCAAGTGACCTTTTTTAAGTGGGAAAAAAAACCAACAACCACAAAGACTCCGCTCTAAAATCTGACCCAGTGACAGAAAAGGTGCTTGTGAATTCGAGTTCAGCTTTCTCTAGAATTTACCAGCCACACTTTATTCCTTCTACACCTAAATTCATAATCAGATATACCTGA